ATATTTAAAGGCAACCATGAGCGTAAAAGTTTACACAGAGAACAAAAAGCTCATTCTTGATGGCAAGAACATGAAGTCTTGATGATTAAATAAAAACAAATTATGAAACATCAGCAGAAGTTTGGAGCAATGAGGAAGAAGGTATTGAATCAGACTGGTTCTTTCACACTATAACATGGTCCTTTTTTCAGTTGTATAAACAGGGAATGGTGTTTGGATGCCGGTTGACTGTAGGATAGAAATGGCATTGCACTGTCTACTGTGAGTTGATTCTTCATCATGGTTTTTAATTTTGTGAAATTCAAGAAGCAACATTCAGAATATTTGCTGATTTATGACACCAATATTAATCCTGTCAAACTCAAAAAGTCTGATTAATTTAACAGAGATTTTATGAATGTGTTAGAACTGTGAATATAATACAGCAACTAGGCAAATATTTTCTGAATGTATTCTAAAACTGCATTCTAATGAATTTTAAAACTGATTTTCTGAAAATTTTACTCCAAAAATGAGATGTTAACTTTAGAAAGCTGTTATTATTAACATATTCTTCTTGTCTTATTAAAATAAGAAATTAGGTTCCTCTCAATTTTATTTATTTTTATACTTCCTCTGTTTATTGCTTTACCTGTAACACCGTAGTGACATTCTTAGGAAGGAATTCTAATTGCTTTAGATTCTGCTTTTAATTACCATGTTTAAGCCTGTTGCATTGTTTTGTGGAAAATATCAGATGCCTTTCCCAAATATCCACATCAAGAGCATTGCGCTGAGCCAGTTTGGAAAGAGTCAGTCCCATTATTTTCATCAACAGTTTTGAACCTTTCCAAATTCAGATCAAAATCTGGCACTCCAAAGCAGGCTTTGAGAGTATTAAAGAAATATGAAATGGCAGTACCCTGGCCACAGCTCTTGGAGAGTTGGGCCTTGTGTGTCAGTAGGCTTAACAGGGATATGTGATTTCCACCATTATAACTTCTTTTAAAGATTATTTTATGATGGTATTAACCCCTACTGGAAGAACATTTCTGTTCCTGTACTAATCTGTTAAAATTTCATTTTGTTTATATTGGCAGTGTAACAGCCAGTTTTAAACTGCCATCAACAGTTTCAAAAGTACACAATGCTTGCAGTTGAAAATAGTGTAACTGATTTCAAACTCTCAGCACTAACACTAAATCGCACTGTCAGTGTTTCTAGAAACATGACAAAAATTCAGCCTACAGTTCCAAAAACTTACTCTTTATTTCAGTAGGAGCTCCACATATGAATCTGGAGGTGGACTATGTTTGACAAGGGCTTGGCTGGTGTTAGGAGTTGGACTTCTGTCATCCCTGTGGGTCCCTTCCAACTCAGGATATTCTATGATAATAGGAGCCGTTATTGCTCCTTTGGATGTTAAATTGGAGTATTCAGTATTGCTTCTATATCAGTATTAGGTTTTGGTCAACAATTCTCATGTGTGTTAGTCCAGGCCTCCATCTTTCTGATTTCTGATGCGGTCTGGATGCCCCGACCCTGCAGCTGCTCAGCCCTTAGCTTCCGAGTGTTCTCTGGGGGGACACCAGCAGGACTGGGGCCATTTGGATCCTGATGGAGGAGGATGCTAATTTAAAGCCCTTGGGAACAAACCTTACTATCCAAGGAAGACTCACAGAAGAGGCTTAGTATAGTTGAACACATGGAGTAGGACACAGGGAGGACTGTGCTGTTGAGAATACCTGAGGCATGTCCTAGTGTGGGAGAAGGGTCGTTAAGAGTGGTCTGAACTGGTCTCTTCCCAGCTTTCAGCTGGTGACTGGATCCTTCATGGCTGCAGCATCTTGTGAAAGGACTAAACATCTGCAGAGTCACCCTGCAGCCAGAGGTAACTGTAAGGCTATAGCCCAGCTGTGAGCAGGAGGCAGATTTCCCTTCAGGAGATGCATAAAGTGCAAGCTGGCTGAATTGTGGTTGCTCTGGAAACCATCCTTTGGGTATCTTTACTCTAGTAAGTGTAATTTCTCAATCATAACATTACATTAATAATGTTCTAGGTTTTAATATCCCCTTTTAGAGTCAAAAGAGAAAGGAGAAAGCAGAAGTATAGCTCATTGCAGATTCAAATGAGTGAACATACATTTACCTGAATATGTATTATCATAATAACATTAATAAGCACTGCACTAATCTTTATTTGAAGGACTAATTAAAATAATTGCAAATGCACATATTTGATGGTGTGGGTGTCTAACCGGATTTTTAAAAATGTCTTCTGTTTTGCCTTGGGGTTAAGATCCATGCAAAATCCACTCACAAACCTTGAAAAATAGTCAGAGTGAAATGGTGTAATGATGGGATATTTTAAGGGACACTTCCAAATCCTCTTTAGGAAAAAATATATGTTTATAAAACAAATTATTTAAAAGGGCATAAATGCATAGATATTGTTTTTAAATTCATTCAGAGCTTCTTTTTTTATTCCTATAAGAATAAAAAGCTATCTCCTTCTATATGTATTTTAGCTTTCACAGTGTTTTACTGTTGGAAGCAACCCTTCTTGTAAGCAAAATGAGGCTTGTGGGTTGTCCTTTTCACCACAAAAAAGGAAACAGCAATAGCATAAAAATTACAAAGCAATAATCATGAAAAGCTGCATGAGATTTTTGGGGTTTTTTTACAGCTGTTAGAGGGGATAAAGCTTTTGTTAGAAGCAAAAAAAGGAAATATTCAGAGGGGATAAATATCCATGGAAACATCTGTCCCTGAAGCAAAGGAAGGCAGAAGGTAAAGACACCAGATATGTACAATTGGATAAATTTGTTTGTTGGTATTTAGCATGATTTCTGGTTTTGTTAAAAAGAAAAAAAAAAAGGAGAATCTTAGACAAATGGTCTTTTGCAGGTGCAGAAGCTCATACTTTTGATGACAGATTGAGTGGGTGACAGATTAGTCAAGAGAGTCAGAAAGGCATTAAAATATTTAGTAAAGAGGAGACAACGAAGCAATCACCAAACCACAGCATCTGATCTCTCAAAGATCCAAGCCATGTAAGGTACAGATCTACTTGTAACATTTTGATGCCAAGGGCATAAATAGTAATCAGGGTGTTTTAGAGATGTCCATGAACTGATGAAATATGGTGGAATTGAGGTTTGTGAACTTCAGTGATACATTTTTTTCTGGCTAGGGTTTATGGATAGTGATTGTGGTGTATTCTGTAAGGATAAGTTTCAAGAAAAAGCAGTTATTGATTCAAATTCATGGGCAATTCAGAGTTATGTGGCCCAGAGTCCTGTACACTACAGCTCTTACAGTCAAAATTAGAGACAAGAGAGCTGTGGGCTCCTATTACAGATTACCAAATATCAGGGCAGATGAGAACAGCACAAGCTAGTTCTTGAACACCCATACCTAACTTTTATGACAAGAAATATGTTCTTGTGGGTAACTTTGGTGCTGAACAAAGTCCTGACCATGGTGGAACTTCAGGCTGGCCCAAAGGACCATGATGATCTCCGTTCGTGGACAAGCTCCCCAGCCCTTATGCTTACTGCCCCTCTGCTCATTTACAACGCAGTGTATCTGATAGGGATGCCCAAAATGGGGGGGAATCCCAACAGGAAACATTTAGTTTGTGCCATAAACTAGAGAAGGTGTGTGGTAACGTATTCAATAGAGAGATATTTTAGTATGCTGAAGCTTTACAACGCTTTTAACATCCAGCTGTTTTGTCTGAATATGTATGGAGTTATATCCTGAATGACACATTTGAATGGTGTAAAAAACATGCACTAACTGTTCTTTGTAGTGGCCATGCAATGCTGATGAATCACATTTCTAGAGATTTCTCTCCCTCTCTCTATTTTTCACTTTCGCGGGTGTGCTGGCGCTGATTTGAACAACTGGGAATTTTCCATTTAGATGCTTCAAACTGTGTTTAACAGAAAAAGCAAAGGGGAAGGCTGTTTTGGGTTTTCATAGCACACTGCAGTGTGCTGGAAAATAGTCATTTCAAGGACAGGTAAACATAAAGAAATACAGCAATTCTGCTGATGCTTTGCTTCTGGTGACAGAAGTTTGGCTTTCCTGGTGTGCAGAAACCCAATATTTGGATTTTATTTTTTTTTTAAGAATTGAAATCTGAGACAATTTAAAGCACAGAGTTGACTCTAACATATATTTATTTGTTTAGTGAAGTAAATCTTGCCATATAATCTCTAGCCTGCAGAAGAGTATGTAGTAGTACAGTTCCATACAGATATGATTTTAGGTGATTCAGTTAAGGCAAATTATCATATCAAGTGACTACTTAGGAAGGTATTAACTATTTTCATTTTTAGGAAATAATTGTGTGGGGTTTTTGGTTTGTGGTTGGTTTCTTTCAGGGATCTAATATGCATCTATAAAATCTTATCATATCTTTATTTTACTGGATATATATCTCTAGCTTTTTTTACTTGGATATTTGTATCCAATATACGACCTCATCAGTAGCTTCTTCTGTCTTGACCTCAGCACTCTGTCCCATCTAGGAGCTTTCAGCAAAATCAAGAGAACCTGAATCCTAATAAAAACTTTATGTCTTGGCAGCTATGAGCGTACAGAAAAGTTTGCAGTGGCACATGGCCATGTTTAAAGCATAAGTGATAGACAGGCATTATACAAGATCTTCATCTTTATATCAGGACAAAAAATCAAACGTATTTGTATATATATGGGAAGTATCCTTCTTTAAATTCAACATTTAAGTCTCTCTTCCCCCACTGCAGTTGTTAAAGTTTCTATGTCAAGACCCCACTGCTTCTACTTTAAACATACTTGATGGAATTCATTTAATCTAACTGTAATATCTTCAAATCTATATATTATGTCCCTATTTCAGCTGGGGTAGCGTTAATTTTCTTGCTAGTATCTGGTACAGTGCTGTGTTTGGGATTTAGGATGAGAACAGTGTTGATAACACACTGATGTTTTAGTTGCAGAGCAGTGCTTATACTGAATCACGGTCTTTTCAGGTTCTCATGTCCTGCCAGTGAGAAGGTTGGCGAGGCACAAGAAGTTGGGAGGGGACACAGCCTGGACAACTGACTCCAACAGACAAAAGAGATGTCCCATACCATGTGGCACCACAGTCAGTATATAAACTGGGGGGGAAAGTTGACAGGGGGTTGCTGCTCAGGAACTGACTGGGCATGAGTTGGTGTGTGGTGAGCAATTGTTTTTCATTTGCATAACTTGTTTTACCTGGGTTTTATTTCTCTCTCTTTATTGTTATTTACCTTTTCATTAAATTATTGTTGTTATTATTATTATTATTATTATATTTCAATTATTAAACTCTCTTTTTATCAACCCACCAGTTTTCTTACTTTTACTTTCCCAATTCTCTCCCTCATTTCCCAGGGTGGAATGAGCGAGTGCCTGTGTGGTGCCTAGTTGCCAACTGGAATTAAACCACGACAATTTAGGTCCATTCTAAATGTTTGTCTAAGCAAAACAGCACTGAAAATGCATGTTTCTTTCCATTCTCCATTACAAGATATGAGACAGTTAAAATGTGTAACCTTTGATTCCTTGTTGCTAAATGGAGATAAATTCCAGTCTCTATTTTCACACACTCTCTTTCCTGAGCAGCTGCTTGTTTTAGGTCACTTGTTTTAGGTCACTTGTTTGTCTTTCAGTGCACCATTTGTAATTTTCTAGCTCTTAATTTTAGTTACACCAAACTGAGGAGCCTAGAAGCATCTTTATGAAGCACTCTAGAGAGCACTCAGAGCTACATCACCACAGAGCTTCAAGCTGCTCTGTGTAGTGCCATCTCAGGCGACAGAAACAGTACTGCTACCTTAGCACAGTGTTGCATCCAAGCAGGTAGGGAGAAAGTTGTGCCCTACTTGACTGGTATCAAGGACATATTGCTTCCTATTTGGAAGGATACTCTGTTGCCAGCATCTCTGAGCTCTATGCACTGGTCTACATGGTGTAGATTGCATCTGTACGTGTCCAGCAGCTGTTTTATTCTCCTGTTCCTTCAGTCCTAACAAATCACAGCACAGAAGTCAACAGATACATACATATGTGATCTCTAAAAAGGATCACATATGATCTCCAAAAAGTAACTTCACAGATCCTCATGCGGCATGTTGTCACTGACTCCTCAGGAGTTATTCCTGACTTACGTTCTTGAAAATGTAGCACTGGAACAGGCTCCACAGGGAAGTGGTCACAGCACCAAGCCTGACACAGTTCAAGAAGCATTTGGAAAATTCTCTCAGGCACATGGTGTGATTCTTGGAGTGTCTTGAACAGGGCTAAGAGTTGGACTTCAATGATCCTAATGGGTCCATTCCAACTCAGCATATTCTATGATTCTATGATTCTTTGTGAAAGTAGATATCCAGATTTTTTTTTCCCCCTGAAATTGCTATTTCCAAAAGAAGGAAAACTTAAAAGATTTTAGATTCAGAACTATCAGAAGGTTCATTTCAATTCTTTCTGCTCCCCTGAGATCTTGAATGGAACATTTACATTAAATATTAATGAAGTAAAATCAGATTTGAAACATTTTAAAAATTAATGTAAAAACAAACATGTTTGATATTATCAGAACAAACCAAGAAAATAGCTTTAATTTATTTTGTTAACAATTTAGGCAAAACTGGCCCAAACCCAGGAAATTATTTTAGTAAAACTGCCCTTTCTGACAGAAAACTAAGTGTATTTTTTCCATGTTCATTCACATATTTTTTCACAGAATTTTCGAAATTGTGTTTTATATTTTTTGTTACAAAACAAGAGATGTTCTACTACGGCTGGACTTTGTTTCCAATCAGATACTGATGGCACAGTCTAGAAGTTTAACTGTCATGATTTTACTGGGTTTTTTGCAATTTTGGATGCAAAGCATTGTTTTAACTTTTGAAAAATATACTTCATTGCAAGACACGTGGAAAAAGTAAAGGAAATGGAAATGGAAAGCATGTGTGCCTCTGTGGAATCACTCTTTTTGTTCATGTAACACACACTGGACCCTATCTCAGTAGAACAGGGAAGATCATCTAGTTGATGAGCGTCACTGGAACGTGGGGAAAAAAAGCTGGTGACAGCTTCCTTTTTATCCACTGTGACAGAAATCTTATGGAAAAGTAAACATTTGAACCACCACTGAAAGAGCAATCTCTCTTAGGATTGAAATCACCTCTCTCTCTTCTTGATGACTGAAGAGCCCCAAGTGGGATTTCTGAAATAAAATATCATGAAGGTTATTCAAGTGGCTTCATGTTTCTAGCTTTTACATTTATCTGTTATGAAATATCCTTATTCGTGACAAAGTTACATGGAAGTAAAACTAGTAACAATTCTTTCTTATTTATTTACTAGATTTAAGATTAATTCCCAAGGCTACCAAGTTGTGATGTGAAACAAATGTGAAAATTCAGCCATATGTTGCACAGCTGGACATGGCTAGCAGAAAGCAAAACATGTCTTGACCTGAAATGAGGGATATCAACGAGAACTAACCTGTGGCTGAATGTCAGATGAGACATCAAAAACTTCTATTTTCCTTTAGTTTTGCAAGCAGATGGTGAACTATTTAGGCTGGAAAGAAGGGAGACTGTTTTTATAATTCTTAGAGAATTAATTGCATCACAATGAGCAAGAGACTTTTTTGTCTTTTGCTAGAAGGCTGTTTTTGGAATAGGTGGATCTGACACTATGCAGTTAAGTATATTTAAAAAAAAACAAAACAGGTTCTTTTTTTCCTCTTTTCTAGAGCTTAGGCACCTTTGAATGAAGGTTAATGTATTGGTTTTAAAGCAAACTGCATACTCATAATATATGGTTCTACAGTACTCTGAAAATGAAATCATAAAAAAGTGATCCTTGTTTTCTCCTGTGGAGATTTACAGTTGATTTACCTCCCTGGTAGGCTGCAGGGACAGTTGAAGTAACACAGTCCAGAGTGAAGCAGGGTAAGGTATCTATGCAAAGAGGCTTAGAGAATATCAGTTTCTACAGTAAGGCTTAGTGTGTCCCCAGCAAGAAAAGTTGAGAGGAAGGTGTGTAGCATGGTGGCAGCCATGCACCTTTGCAGTGCATAGGAGGTGTGGAAAACTACCTAGTTCGGGCTGAATTGCATCTCCCACGTACAGTCAACATACATTACTGGAAGAGACTTGTCCAGCTCCAGAACACCACTAGGGGCCAAACTCAGCTCAGTGGTCAGCTAATCTTTCTATGATGATATGCTAGGGTCAGATACAGAGTATCAGATGGACAGTTTGAGTATTGTTATAGGATAAGTTACTATAGAATGAGAAGCCTTTTAAACTCTGCTATGGTGTTTTGGAGGAGATCTTAGAATCTTAAAATGAAAGAATGGTTTGTGTTGGAAGGGACTTTTAAAGGTATCTATTCCAACCTCCCTTCAATGAGTAGGGACATCTTCAACTGGACCAGGTTGCTCAGAGTCGCATGTTTCCAGGGATGGGGCTTCTCTTTTTATATTATTTTTCTAAGTTTTGTGAAATTACTGCTCAAAATGGCACTCTTTCAAGGAGAGAATAGAGTAAATGTAAAGAACCATAATGTTTCAGTCATTGAAGATTAAATTCAGTTTACATAAAAACTTAGGTTATTGAGCCAGCCTTTCTTTTCTAAGAAAAAGGTTCTCAAATATATAGGTTTTAAAAAAGAAAAGGTGGGAAAGCGGGATACCTAGATTATACATTTCAGTCCAAGTTTTCTTTATGTTTCTCTCAGCCCAAAGTAGAATATCTCTCTGGTATTTTCTTTGATTTAGTTATATTAAAAAAATTCTCCCTTCCATAGCTTTGTTGATTCTGCAGTGCTGACAATACTTGCAGGCTTTCTGTCTGGCAGTAAAGGCAGGAAAAGTGACAATGACTCTGAAGAAGAAATGCTGAGTGTGAAGTGTAATTTTTTAAGAGATTGTTTCTAGTGATGTGCCCTAAGGAACACTGGGTTTATTTTTTTTACTTCCTTTCAGTCTGAAAAATAAATCTTAAATTTTTATATTTAAACCAGAAAGTATAGAAATTATACATATCTATATTATCATATATAGAAAGCAGAAAATATAGAAAGTATAGAAATATGGGCACAACATGGATATAAGAGCCTTCCTTCCTTCATGTGACTGCCAAGTTCTGAAGATGATCAAAGTTAATCAGCATAGCTGAGAAGCATTTGGTGAACCTCCATAATAGTATGATGCAGGACATCCATATCTAAGAATAAATGCCGGTAAAGATTATGTCTACTATAGAGAATACATGTTCTACAGATCATGTATTTTATGTTGAAAAGTTCTTGCACTGGTATGGTGGAGCTTCTTTGGAAGGTCACAAATATTTCATCCTGCTTTTATGCTGAAATTCATACATACGTATTCCTATCTTTCATTATTTCTGTTATTTTTTTTAGGTTATGACAGTGTATGTGAACTAGTAGAGCTGAGTAAAATCAGATATAGAAGTAACACAGGATGGACAACCCTGTGAAACCAAGGAGGAAGGTGAGTGAAGGTGTATAAGGGACATGAGGCAGTAGGGGCTGAGAGTGTGGTTGGGCTGCAGAGCAAGGTGGGAGCTTTCCTGAGTGGTGTGCCTGAATAGGCAAGATTATAACCAACAAGGTTTATAGACAAAATACTATTTTCTATCCTTCATTAAAAGAACATAAAAAAATGTAAACTATTATAGCTGGATACAGGCAGGTTTACACAAAAAGACATAAAGACAGGTCTGATCAGTGTGATAGACTTTAAACATGTTTGGTTTGTGGGCAGTTCATCAAAAGGAAGCTGTAAAACAGGTCAGGAAGGGAATAAACACCTCCTCATGTGCTTCTGTTCTGAAGAGCAGCATCAAAACCTGAGTGATAGGAGGAGGATGTACCCAAGGGCACTGTGGGGATTTGGCCCCATTACATCTCTTGCACAAAGGCAACGAGGGGTGGAATGTGGAGAGAGATGACAGGCTCATGTAGGCAGAGCAGAAAACTTGCATTAGCAGCATTGCATGGGGATACCAGAAGGCTGAGACTACCTCTTGCTCACCAGAGAAAACTCACTGCCAATTTGTAGTGTCTAGGGACATGCTCAGGGCAGTGAGCTCAGCTATTCTGCAGAGGACACAGCCTTGTGGCATACTGGAAATGATGCATCCATTCAGTAAATGACACTGATGAGATCTGAGGGGAGGCCTTCCAGTATCTCTCAG